CCACTAAGTACATGCACACTTATTTATGTTTAAGAAAAAGGATCTCCTACACCAAGTTTTGCCTGGAAGAGACCGTTGTTTAGCGTTAAGGCCACCTAATTTTACATAAATTTATAATTAACTTTGTTGTGTTTTGTAGTTTTGAAGAGTATAATAATAATAATAAGTAAATGACTGACGTCAGGATTGGGACCATTCCTTGCAGCCCGTAACCTTAGTCATCAACCACTTTTTTTTTGAGAAAGCGGCTAAGGTTTTAAGTCGAACGTTTTATCAGGAGTCACGCCCACCGCGCTGATTGCCGAACCCAACAAGGTGTGGTACAGGAAAGGGGGCCACTAATTGGTTGATCAATGTGACGGGCATAAGATGAATAATGAGATTATTCCTTTCAGTTGGTAATTCGCAGCCGGATTAAGGCTGGATCAAGAAAACAACTGAATCTGATGCAGAGACGGCGAAGAAGAGGCCCGAACATCCTTTCATTTTAGTGTTCGGAAGGAATTTAAGAAAACGCCCGAACGTCGTTTCCGTTTTTGGCGTTTCCGAAGAAAAAGACGCCCGAACGTCATTCTCCCCTTTTGACGCTTCGGAAGCAAGAAGAAGAAGGCCATTCACGGTTTCCTTTAGGTTTTTCGGAGCCGATTTCCAGGCTAGCATAGGAGGCCTACTGGAAAGACAGGGAAAGAATTGACCTGGAACTGTATAGCTGCTGGGAGATATAAACCGGGATTGCTGCCGGGAGAGGGTGCTTTTCGGAAGCACTTACTGCTGCCGTGAGAAGGTACTTGTGAAAGCACTCACTACGCTGCGGCCGGGAGACAGGGCGCCTAGACAAGGCGTTACCGGTGACCGGACAGCGGAAACCAGCATATCAAAAGCTCCGTGTGCTTGGGCTTAACGCCTTTTGATGTGGTGCAGACTAACGAGCGAGTCTGCCATTGAATACATCGGCTGCGGCGTTACATCGTGCGAGTAGACACGCCGAGGGGTCGGATTGTCCCCCCGTACCCATAGCAACCTGTAAAACGTTCGTCTACTGACAATCAGTACCCACCTTTCTCTTCCTGCACGATTTTCATCCTTGGGCGAGTCACACTGGTGAGCTTCGTCAAAAGATTTATAGGGTCTGATAGGGAGTCTTAGGGGTTTTTTAGGGAGTAAGGGCTTTAAGGCATTGTAGGCCAACAGTTCCACTCACGCAAGATGAAGAAGGCACAGGCACACATAAAAAACATCCCATTGTGTTTCTTGCTGATTATTCGCAGGTCAGAGTTTTTTTCCAAACCGGTGGTAAAATAAAAAAAGTGACTTTCTATAAGTATTATTTGTAAGCTACATTAAATAAAAAGTTTCTGTTTCTGTTTCATTACTCGAGGGGAATACCAGCACACCTGGTAACGGACAATCCCTCGCTTAACATCCACACCCAAGCTGCCCTACTCTTCCTGAGCTTGGATGCTCAGGTCGCCCCGCGTATTCTGGAGGGAGGTGAAATTCAAAAAAACTGTTCGTAGCAAGTGGAGCAATAAGACAAAGGTGACCTCTGCCACGCCATCCATGAATTTCGGCAACATCAGTGGACATTCAAACCTTAACGCCGTCCACTACTATCTGGAAACGGCAAAGCTGACCTAGTTCTTTTTAACCAAGACACTGGTGTCCTTTACAGCAGAAAACTGGGCAAATTTCGAAAACATGGAACAACAAGAATGGAAAATGTAATGGAAGATTTTATTATAGAAGTCGGAGAAACCAGTGACGAAAAGTTACTAAGCGCTTGTAGTGTTGATAGTATAAGTTTATTTGACATTGATTGTGACAAATAAAATATTTTTTTCATTTTAATTATAACAAACGTTATTTAATTAGTTTTACTCTCAATTTGTTGCGTTGCAAAATAAAATTATCGATATAAACTACCTGGTACGATGCCACATAACCAGAAAATTGCCATGTTGATCTATTAGGTACTATAATACGTCCATGCGTTCACATGCACATCTGTGAAGGACTTATGTCGTAGACAGAGAAACCTATAGACAAATTGATGCCCTCTTTCGCATTCGCACATGAAAAAGATAGATTTATGCATACTTCTTGCGTAGAAATGAGACAGAGTGGTGTGACTTTCTCCGTGCCAGTTTTTTTGTTTAGCAAACTACACTTTGCTTAACAACTTTGACAGTTCGTAGCGATCTAAGGAGTTTACAAGTTGGTTTAAGTGAGAAAAAAGTGTTTTGTGAGTGATTGGTGAATATTGTTCAGTTCATTTCTTAGAACAATTTTTTTTTTCATCTAAATATGTTTAAAAGTCATAAAGCTTTTTGTATAACCTAAAACTACGTTATCGTCCTTTCTCACTCAAGGCCACGCTAATTATTAGTCTATAGCAGTGATTCCCAAAGTGATCTATATCGACCCCTAGGGGTCTATGAGAACCTGCAAGGGGTCTACGTCAGCGAAAAAAAATTTGGGGGTCCATGAAATGAAAATGGGGGTCCACGATAGTGGATCTCAACACATACACTGACAGTACCTATTTACTTACATCATACTATCTTATAATATCAAAACATATACATTATTTATAAAAGTACCTATGAAGAAAAAAATTTATTATATATGTTTATAAAATTGTGTAAGTTGTAGGATGTTGGTATTCGTTTTGTGGTCGCAATACATAGTGAACTTGTAAAAACCTGCAAGTCGCAGTCTCAGAGCTTCGCTACCTTGCACTGACTTGTTCAATTCGTCACTCTTTAAATACGAATGTGGGACAAATACGTTTATTCGTTTCCTGAATCTTGAAAAGGAAAGTGCTAAGAAAATATTTTAAAAAATATAAACAGATAGTATATCACACAAATTATAGTGAGTCAGTGTTATTTTGTTTGAGAGTGCTGGAGAAAAGTAAGTACATTATTTTTTATTAAATTTTAGTTTTGTACTCGTAGTTAGCAAAGATAGATAAATTACGCCAATCATGACTTTAGTTATTAGTAGTTTAATATTCAATCATGCAAAATTACACGAGTACTCCTAAATAATTTCTTTTTGAAAGTTTTAGCAATCGGTATTATAATTACGGTGCAATCTTCGTAATTCATAAATAATTAGATTGCATGAATCACTTCGTATAGTCATTGATGCAATAAACCGAATCCGAAGCATCGCGTTGAATGCGCGGTTATTTGCGCAGTTGTGTGAAGAAAATGACGAACACTTTCATCAATTACTCCTTCACACTGAAGTACGCTGGCTGTCGAAAGGCTTATGTTTGGCAAGATTTTTTGCACTTTTCGAGACTATTTTAGAATTTCTGGATACTGAAGATAAAATTTTAAAAGACAATTTAATGAAGAGGAAAATAGACATCGCCTATTTAACAGATTTGTTTACAAAATTTAATATGGTTAATTTGCAATTACAAGGCGACAGTTTAAACTTGATTAAAACAAAGTCCATCTTATCAGCGTTTCTTGCCAGAGTTAAACTAATGAAGCAAAATATTGGACGGGGCGAATTTTCTCAGTTCCCCAATTTGTCACAGACAAGCTGCCAGGAGGACGACGTTTCAACTTACGTTCAACATTTAAATGCCCTCTATTCAGATTTTGAATCTAGGTTTGAGGATATTTTGACTATGGTTATACCACCGTGGATAATTAATCCATATGGTGATATAGAAGAAACGAATATCATAATACAAGAGGAACCGACTGAACTAAGTACAAACGAAGAACTTAAGGTTCAGTTTAAAAACAGATATCAGCAATTCTGGCTGCAAAACAACATACCCGTTACTTATCCCGTATTATGGAATTGGCGAGGAAAATTTTAATTTCCTTTCCATCGTCATACCTAGTGGAAAGGGGGTTCAGCGCTGTTACCAATCTCCTAACGAAAAAAGAAACAGACTGGACATCATTAGCCGAGGAGATTTAAGATTAACCCTTACAAAATTGACGCCAAATGTTGATAATTTATTATTAAAGCATCAGGTTCATCCTTCTCACTAAAATATTGATTTATTGCTTATGTATATATTTTATTTATAGATTATTTTGTGTTTATTTAATGCTACTGTATACTACTGTATATTTTACATAACAGATACACAATTTTATTTTGAGTAGTTTTAATTTAAATTCAATTAATAAATGTATAAATTAACATGTGTTTTTACTTTAAGTTTTTAACTCTAAGCTTCACTATAGTTAGAAATTTACAGGATATCAATATCAGGTAAGAAGGGGGGTAGTCTACCCAACATGGAAAAACATGGCAAGGGGTCTACGACACAAAAAAGTTTGGGGAACTCTGGTCTATAGGTTTCTCTGTCTACGACTATAGTTCATAAAAGATAGCTTGATCTCTGCGACAGCTGTCAGTAAAAATCACGCCTATGAAGTCCTGAATTTCTTAATAGTACAGACAGTACCTGTCAATGTCATGACTTAGGCATGCCGACCTCATTGGTGCATGCCCATAAAGTATGACATTGACAGGTACTGTCTGTACGTAGACAGAGAACTCTACGTGTCTGTACTACTAAGAAATTCAGGATTTCATAGGCGTGATTTTTACTGACAGCTGTCGCAGAGATCAAGCTATCTTTCTATATGAACTATAACGTATTGACTGATAAAATTGTCTATGGCATTTGTATTCTTGTCTATAGTAAGCGTAGAGTAGAAAATAGATTAAAAACGAAGTGATATTATCCTATCCTCTGCGTAATAATAATGTCATGCTTTGCGTAGATGGTTGGAGTGGAAGTTAACAAGGCTCTGAAGGGCTAGAACCCAGAGCCGGAAAGCTAGTTAATAAAAAAATGGAAGTTGACATGACATATTTTTGTCTATGGTTGTTGGCAAAAGAAAGGAAGTTGAGTTGATTTTGTAGAAACGTCTGTCTACTTAAAGTTTTTACCGTGTTTTGGCGTAATTTTACGGCCATGTGTGGTTATATTTGTTCGATAAACGAAAGTTCTAGTGATGTTATCCACTGCTGCAAATAATAAAGTTAAAAACACAAGAGGATTGGATAGTTCCGATGTTCCAGATCGAAACGAAAGCGGACAAGAAAACAAAACGGATGATAAGGTCAGAGGTTATGTTGGTACGTACGATGGTTCATCATCCTTTGGCGGGCCGCACCGAGATGGTAGATTTCGATCTCGGGGCCGTATCACTGAGTATAGGCATTCTAGAGGAAGCGGGCGCGGTTGTGGACGGGGCCGTGGTGACTTCCCGCCAAGGCCTGAACATGACGAAAATTCCTACAAATATCACGAACCGTTAGGACAGTCCAGCAGTGACTCTTGGTCCCAAGGAAATAATAAATTTTATGAGAGATCAGACCTCGTCGTAAATCTACCTGAAGATCCACGTATATCTAAGCTTTTGCGACGCCTTTGTGCAGAAGTTGATGTGGAGAAGTCACTGGTTATATGCAGCAAGTTACAAGATGCTGTATTGTTGCCAGAAAATGCACGATATATACGAAGATCTTATGATATCTTAGTTGAGTCATTATTAGATGTCTTATATGATGCTCCCGGACCAGAAACTAAAGAGAAAGCAGCTGTTGTCTTGGGACGGATTGGTTATGTTATGGGACATGATTATAAGAAACATTTGGAATGGATTGTCTCAACTTTCTCCACTCATAACACATCAATAAAGCATCTATTGACTCTATCTTTTTCTGAAACATTTCAGTTGGACTTTCAAACACCAAATTTGTCTGACTTTGCAGAGATGACATTGGATAGGCTGCAGGTTATTATTGAAGGAACAGATTCTGCTGATGTTTTTATGGCTGCTATCAATGCAATGATCATTATGTCAAATTCATACCCTGAACATTTTGCTAATCATTTTGTAGACACTGTAGATATTCTTGTTGGATGGCATGTTGATAATGCACAGCCTAAAAAGATAAAAGATTTTGCTCTTCAGTCTCTATTCAAATTAAGCCGTCACTGGCAGGCTGATGTTGGGTTTTCTGTCAATCTATTGAATCAATTTGTTGAGGATATGGTGGCATATACAAGTGAGCTTGATACTAATAATCAAGAGTCTGAATCAAACTCAAATGAAGATTGCATGCAAAAAATTGCATCATTTTTAAATGTTTTCAATACAGTAGTAAAGAGTTTGGGTACACTCCTTAACCCTACAGTCTCACAAACGGTCTCTTGGTCCTTCCTGACTGATGCAATGACAAAAATATTACAAGTTTTAAATGAAGTATTGAAGGATGATGCCGAATCAGATTTGATATTAGCAGGTAATGAGAGTATTACATTACTACTTAGTTATTTACAAATGAAGGCCACACCCTGCTTGCCAGGATTATTTTTGTTGATAACTCTGGAAATGACTAAATACTTACATATTGAAAATACAGTTTGTCTTAGCATTATAGGTCTTATTTCAATAACCATAAAAGAAATTGCTTCTAACCTTCCAATAGAGTTTATAACTCAAACCATTGGTCCTGATTCATTACTAAGGCCTTTGAGATATTCTGAGAACATCAAAATCCTGTCAAGTGTTATGCTGGTTTACAGCAACTTGTTAAACTTGAAAAATATACCACTTTTGCAAGAAACCTATAAGTATGTTTTAATGGATATTCAAAATTCATTCTCTGTCATTTTACCTAATATTCAAATTATACCAGCGGAATATACTGAAGACATCTCTGAGGATGATGCAGAAAAAAATATATTGTTTTACTTACAGTGTTTGTCTGATCTTGCAAATGCCAGCAATTCCATTATTGGTATGTGGGCTCTAAAACCAAGCATTTTAGAACTTTTGGCTATTAAGATGTGTCCACATGATGAAAATTTGATTAGAAAAAAGCCTGCTTTACAGTATGCTGTATTGTACTTATTATATTCCCATTGCAAGAAGAATAATCATTTTATTGCTTCAAGTGATTTAGTCACTAATACACAACAAAGGACAAGTGATATATTTGGTCTTTCAAACCTAAACATTGGTGATGTTTCCAGTTCAAGCCCAACATCTGGTCATCTTGCTGTTATACTGAACACATTAAGCATTGTCTTGGCAGAAAATGTAACAAAGGAAACCTTATTACTTGTTTTAACTTGGATCTCAGATATTCTCTCTCAGCTGGATAAGTATTTGCCAATTGTGAGTTTATCCAAGGGTTTCTTGGTATTAACTACTAACATGTTATCACTTGCACACAATTTTGATGATGACATTATTCTCATTGTTCTACAAAATTGTCAGAAATTATTAAAAAATAAAGGTTTGGTGTGGAATGTGATGTTACTGAAAACCATGGCACTCATATGCATTTTACACATAGATAATCTTAATAAATCAGTGTCAATTGTGTGCAAGGACATTTTGTTCCAGCTGCCTTGGGATGTTGTTCAACAAGAATTAGATAGACAGATGGTAAAAGTATTTACATCCAAAAAGTTTAATCTGACTGTTCTCAACTGTGACACAAAGTTAAATGCTTTAAAAGAATACCTTATGAGAGGGTCATTTAACACATTGTCCAACACACATTTTCAAGCTATAATTAATTGTCTTCTGCAACAAACAACTATTGACAAAAACCTATTGATTGATACTTTTTTAGTCTCATGGCCCATACAAGGTCAATATCTGGATGAACAAAAATTATTATTTTTCCGTGAATGTGCAACAAGTTTTTCTTCCATTTGCATCAGTTGGGCTCTTTCAGAGTTGGCACAGACTTGCATAGCCCTTAAATTGAGGACTGCTTTAGGGAAACCACAAGAAACTTTTATGAAGATTGAAGGTGCCTTAAAAAATATAGCAAGGGATATATCTTCTAGTGATACTAAATACCTTGCAAGTGAACAACAAAAATTACTTGATGTCATTCTTTCAGAACAGTTTAGAGCACGTTGGTTTATTGAGTTCATGACTTTCTTAGAAAAATATACATATAATGCTGCTGAAGGTACTGCAACTGTATTACCCGTTGCCATTAAACCTGTAAGAACTTTTTTTCATACGAACTGGTCTACATGCCGTGAGTGGCAAAACAGAGTGCGTCCTGCTGCACTTGCTGTCAGTCTATATTCTGGCCACCTTGGAGCAGTTATTTATCATGCTTCACTTATTTTGCAAACAGCTGCTAATTCCCATACTAATGTAGACATTGAAGCTATAATGACTACTATGGCGCAAGCTCTCATTGAAATTCAAGAACCAGAAGTCTTACATGGTTTGTATATATGGATAAAACAAAATTTTGATAAAAAAATCTCCTGGTTAAAAGGGGCTGCTGAACAAGCAAATTCTCGGTATGAATTAGCCATTGAATTTTATAAGAAATTATATGTCACTGCTTCTAACTCAGAGAATGACTCTACCACTACTACTGCTCTGTTAGATGCAAAGTTGAATAAATTTGTTACTGAACAAATTATAGAAAGCTATAAAAATATACAAAGTTGGGAAGATATGCAGCAATGGAAACTTGCTGACCAAGAAAATAAAATAGATCTACAATGGGATTCTTTTACAGCCTTAAATATATTTGAAAACAGTCCTGAGATTCCAGAACAACTAGCTGACTGGGATGTTTTGCGACTGAATACTACTGAAATATCAAAAAATGCTTGCTCATACCAAGCTCTTCTCAACAAGATTGAATGCACACTTGTGTACACAGCGTTAAACTATTATTATAATGATTATGATGATAAATATGATGCTATGCTTAGAAATTGTAATGCACTGCTTAATGCTAGTGCTGAAGAATTCTCAAGAACAAATGCTGTGCACTTTTTGAAAGAAATTGCTGTGTTACAATTGGCAAATCATGGACTGACAAGTATTATAAAGAATGGAAAGGCAATATTAAATCCATTCAAACCATCTGTTGTCAAAGAACTTAAATATGGAACTGAACTTAAAAATTTAACTAGAATTTTGTGGTGGAATCAATATTTCACAAAATTGAACATGACTGAAGAAAACATATTCTACACAGAATGTCTAAGGCTAGATGTTATCAAAAGCGCAAGGAAAAACACGAACCTGGGCATGGCTAAAAGAGAGCTATTGAAACATTTCAAACATAACCCTGCATTCCAAATGTGCATCGTCAATGTGAATAGTTTGGATGAGATAAGTGATATACTTCTCATGTCTAATAATACCTATGATTTAGACATTTGGACTTTGAATAATGCCAATGCTCTGGCAGAACTTTGCAAAGTTACTTATGCAAAAGAAGAGACAAGAGTGCGTGCCATTAACTTATGTGCAAATATTTCTCTCGGCTTTTCGCAACGTCTGGCTATGGGCGAACAAAGTTATGAGCTGAGAGAAAAAGGTACAAGACTGCTCCTAACACTCTCTAAATGGGTGCAGAGTGAAACTGACAATATAATAGAAAGTGATTCGCCCTTAATGAAACTAGTGTCGGCATTGCCCGAGATTGGCCTTGTAGATAATAATATTTCGGAAAATGTTATTCCACTTTCAGATTCTGCAGTCGGGAAACTTTTACAATTTGGAGTTAATCAATGCCCAGGCTTAGCAAAAGCATGGGCGAGCTTTGCCTCATGGTGCTTTAGATGGGGCCGTAAAATGGTTGAATTTAGCTCCAAAACAAGGGAGCAACTTACTGATAATGATAAAATACAAATAGAAGGGGTTATGATTGGATGTTCGCCCCAAGATTTTGAGGCTGTGTGTGAGATTTTATCTAAAACTAAAGCTACTTGCGATGATGAAGACATTGATTGGAATGAAATCAACACTTCCGAAATGATTGAAAATCAGTTACGTACAGTCCCTTCGTTAAATAACGCTTTTCCGGAACATCTGGCTTTACTTGTTGATATTTGGCGCCAAGCCCAGAAGAGAGTATTCTCATACTTTGAACTATCAGCTGACGCTTACTTTAAATTTCTGCAGCTTATTTGTGCCTCAGATTTTATAAACCACAGTGGAGAAAATGCAGTAGTAAATGCTACATTGAGACTTTTAAGATTAATTGTTAAACATGCCATGGAGTTGCAAACGGTACTCGAATCAGGCTTAGCAAATACACCTACACAGCCTTGGAAGGTTATCATACCTCAACTGTTTAGTAGACTTAATCATCCCGAAACATATGTGAGAAAATGCGTTTCTGACTTGCTTTGTCGATTGGCAGAAGATACACCCCACCTCATTACATTCCCAGCAGTTGTTGGTGCAGTTGAAAATGAACAAAACAGTTTGACGGAATTAAGTGTTCCCAGATCTTACTTATCTAATGAAGATGCTGAAAGTGAGGAAGACAATCTTGAGTTGGAAGATACTGGAAGTGATAAGCTAACTAATAACGAATTGAACTCCTGTTTCTTGGACATGGTTGAAACATTGGCAAAACAAGCCCCAAAAACAATTCTTCAAGTGAAATTGTTAGTAAAGGAATTACAACGAATAAATTTACTATGGGATGAATTATGTCTAGGTACATTGGTTCAGCATCATTCCGAGTTTAATAAACGGCTCACGCAATTAGAGACAGAAATTGCGAAGGTTAAAAATAATGTAAATCTGTCAGTGGAGGAAAAGGTTAAGCTTATTAAAGAAAAACATCGCATTATATTTGAACCGATTGTATTTGTGTTAGAACAGCTTCATCAAATCACATCAGCCAAACCTGAGACGCCCCACGAAACTGCCTTCCAAACTAAATTTCAAGCTCTCATCACCGATGTAATAGATAAATTTAAAAATCCCACAAATCCTGAAAAGCCTCAAGAGTCATGGACTTCATTAAAACAGTTACAGATAAAACTGCAACAGAAAGTTAATAAACGAACATCTTATATTTTGAAAATGTCTGACATCAGCCCTGTTTTGGCAGAGATGAAAAATACTGTGATTACAATGCCTGGATTACATACAAATCAAAGAACAGTTAGAGTAACTATAAAATCCATCGAGAACAACGTTGCTATTTTGCCAACAAAGACAAGGCCTAAGAAACTGGTCTTTTATGGATCAGATGGAAAATCTTATACATATCTCTTTAAAGGTTTAGAAGATTTGCATTTAGATGAAAGGATTATGCAGTTGTTGTCTATAACAAATACAATGCTGGCTCGTGATTCTGAAAACAACGATAATCAAACATACAGAGCCCGCCATTACTCTGTCATTCCTTTGGGTCCTCGGTCTGGCTTGATTAGCTGGGTGGACAATGTAACACCACTTTTCGCTTTGTATAGGCGTTGGCAAAATCGGGAAGCTGCAATTCTCATGGCGAAAACCAACAAGACAATTAATGTGCTACGGCCCTCGGAGCTTTTCTACAATAAACTTAATCCTTTGCTAAAAGAAGCCGGAATATCAACGGAAAACAGAAAGGATTGGCCTGTCGCCATCCTCAAGCAAGTTTTACAAGAGTTGACAGCGGAAACACCTAAGGATCTGTTGTGGAGAGAGTTGTGGTGCAGCAGTGTCTCTCCTGAGCAATGGTGGCAGATGACGCGACGCTACAGCTACTCTGTTGCCGTAATGAGCATAATCGGCTATATAATAGGCCTTGGTGATAGACATTTGGACAATGTATTAGTGGATTTGACATCTGGTGAGGTGGTACACATAGACTATAATGTGTGCTTCGAGAAAGGCAAGACGCTGCGAGTTCCGGAGAAGGTGCCGTTTCGAATGACGCCCAATTTGGTGACGGCTCTCGGGGTGACTGGAGTTGAGGTGAGTACTTTTATAATATTATGCTATGATTTATTTTTTTGTTAACAAAAACATTGTATATTAATACTGTTCCTACTCAACTCTTTAGATATCTTGTGATTTGTTTAGATATATTTATAGAAAGCACTGTAGTTTTTTAAAACTTTCCTTTATCTACTTATATTTTTTTAATGATTTAGGGGTGGATTATCTAATGCCACTTAAATGAACCAGATGAAGATCATGATTATGATTAGCATGATATTTGGATTTAAATATTTAATATTGAAACTTTATTGTTTAACTTTGTGCACTGAATATTATGTCATGGATACAACATTATTTATTCGACATGTTGGTATTTCTCTCATGGATTCTTTTGTATATATTATTTATTACAGGCTATCAGAAGCTCACTGCTGAACATAGGTCTCTGACATAAATTGCGCTTGATATTTGTCATAGTTGCCACTCTTTGGAGACTTGGAGTTGTTATCAGGAAAATTCTGGTGCCCCTCCGCTATTTAATTTCCCTCTGTCGTTACTTACGACACCCACAGGATGATATATGGCGTAGAGGATTCTATTATGTTGCAACTACACGGCAATTAGTCAATTAGTTCAATATATTGTAACAATATATACAAAATAAATAGATTTCCAAATAATGAGTTACTGACATCTAGAACAAAAAGATCTATTTCTTGGCGATGATTAATTGTGACGAAATTGATATTTATTCTGTACCTAAGTTACAAAAGTGTGATGCAATAAGACCAACAACAAAATACAAACCAATAATGTGTGTACACAAAGTCTGCGATATTTTACGCCGTATTTTTATTTACGTACTTATCGTTTTGTTTTTATTTTATTGTGTTGGATATGATTATCCCTGTACCTAAATTTGGGCTGTAGGTTATTATTAGTGTCTCCAGTAATAACTTCTAGCTGATGTTAGAAGTAGATCCTGTGTGCTGAAAAGCTACCTGGAGAGAATCATCATTATTGACCGTTTCTCTTGATTACCTTTTAAATTAACCTTCGTAGTTTTACATAGTATTTACTATATATTGTTTGATGATTAGGTATATCCGTTGTCGGAGTCATTGAACTTAAATGTTGATTGTCTTCTTGTAATAAAATGTAAATTGCTTTTCGGGTTTGGCTACGTTGTGTTATCAACACATGCCGTTCGCCCTCATATAATATGCAGATCGGTCGAGCGACTGATTCGATTCTGTATCAGAGTTGTCGCTATCACTAAGCGAAACTGTTAAAATTTATCTGTGTGTGTGAAATTATTAGTTTATTGTTTTAATTATTATGTATGTGTTTTGTAGTGACAGACGATTGTTTGTGTGTGCGCAGATTTTCCCCCGCCAAAAATGACATAGTTCCGTATTGGGGAAAAACGCTATGGCTACTTCCAACTGGTCCGTCGGTGGCCCGTGTTGCTCTATGTATGGTCACCATGCAATAGAAAAGTTTACTCCCGACATAATCGAGTACTGAATCAATCGAGTTTTGTTGGAACTCATTTAAATTTCGAACTCCCGATCTTTCGAACTTGGAATTTTGAGAATGAAAATCTTCAGCTGTCTTCTGCGAAATGGCGCTCGTATGTAGGGTCGATGCGCCGGTAAGCCGGCCGGGTCTAGATTTTGGACTTTGGCACGAGGTGATGCAGTAAATTTGGTTTAATAACGGTTTTAATAAATATTATCGTACGAAATGAAGTTTAATGCATTTGTAAATAGTTGCACTATATCTGGTAACATTAATATATCAGGTAAACACAACACGCGATTTATAATAAATTGTTTACTTCGACGCCGGCATAGAAGCTGTCAAAACTTGTAATGTCGCCTCTACACGTTGGCCAACACAGTGGCGAATGGAGTGGCGAATATATTGGCCGAGAGTTGGTGACGGCGTCCACACGTTGGAAGGTCGTTCAGTTTACTTCGGTTTGGGTCAATGTGCGGACGAATTTATAAGCACAAGGAACAAGTATTTGTATGTCCTACAAATAATTGTTTCGGGTCTGGATGCGTGTCCTTGTGCAATTTATGTTTGTAAACTGCCTGCGCGATACGGGAGAAAATCCTAGTGTGGGGTTAACGTTTTTATAAAAGAATTATAAAATAATAGTGGATATTAATGGGGTTACGATATACAATTAGCTTTATTTATTCTTTACATGCATCATAAACCGGAATAAATACCATTAATAAGAACTTAACTTATTTTAAAGTTAAAGGAGTTGTAATCGATTAGTCTATGTTTTAAAATTGGGTTTTGATTTTAAAGTTTAGTAAAATATGTACTTGCATTTCTATCAGACATTTGATGTATATAAAAACACCTTATAATTTATTTGGTAATTTAATTATTTTTTGAGAAAGACAAAAACAATAGCAATAAATATAATTAACACTGAGTTAATAATAGGTACTAATTATAACTTAGAACATAAATGAAAAACTCATGACGAGCAAAGTGGCTCAGGACCATGCTTTGCGGCAGTCTGTGGAGGAGGATGTTCAGTAGTGGACTTGTGAAGAGCTGTAATGATGATGATGATTCGAAAACTTGCACGATTAAATTATAAGAAATTGACGCTTTTTATATAGGATAGGGTGACAAACGAGCACACAGTTCACCTGATGGTAAGTGGTTGCTGTGGCCCACAGACATCTACATCTATCCTCGATTACGAATCAAAATGCAGATGCGTTGTCACCCGTGAGGACTAAGATGAAATGCCTCGTTTCCTTTAAAAAGTGTCTCTGGTTCTCTACACTCACTATACGAAACACAGCATTTACATTGATATTCTGTGAGAGCGTGGTCCCTCCCCGGTCGAACCGATCCATTCGTGGTACAACTATACTTCTAATATAACTGCATGGTTATACCACGTATAAACGACGTGCTTCATTTTTTTTCATTTTAAAATTGTTCTCGTAATAATCTGATTGTAAATAAATGTTCATTATTTTTTTTATAAATAGCTTATCGATTAAAACAAATGTTTAAAAATAATTAAATCGCGCTAATTAAAGTAGTAGGAATGTTTAAAGTGGAAATTGGCACTAAAAGGCTGGTAATTGGGTCATCCACCCTACAAAGCGTGAATATAAAATTTTAATCAGATGCGTGTAATCACTCTGGGAGCTTGTAGCAAACTAAACTCGCGGCCAACGTGTGGACGCGGCGACCAAACTCCGCCAACAATCCTTTGATCTTTTGTAAAAAACCGACACCACACGGATCTCGCGCCAACTTGCGGGCCGTCGTTCCAATACATACCAATGAAGCCCAAACACCCCGTCTACACGTTGGCCAATGCTATTGGCCACTAAATTCGCCACTGTGTTGGCCAACGTGTAGAGGCGCCGTAAGATCGAGCAAAAAAATAGTGGCGCGTGTTCCATTCAAAAGTAGGTAAGTTTCGTGCTGTATTTAATATAATTACTTAATATTGTGCTTATAATTCACTGTATAAATAACCTTATACAGTTATTTGACATTGATTATTATAAGTAATAGTTTATTGATAAAGTTAATAAATTAAGTGACCGAAAAGTGACACACAAAATTGTCCTATTATTTCGTTGTCCGCCATGCGGCCGAAAAGTAGCCTGAGTTTAGCCTAAATACTTTCTCTTTTATATATTTGGTTACGTACTGTAATTCATCTTTCTTACTTATATTGAATCGTAGCGTGCGTAGACACTAACTTTCAGTTTTCGGCCACCAAGTACTGCAATTTGAACAGTTAGTGATGTGAGTGAACAAAAACACCCATTTAGGTCGTGTCCGAAAACTAGATTGACTCTAAAATAATTATTTAGTTTCGGCCAACTTAAAATTGTACGAAAGAATAAGGCGGCGGAAAATAAAATGCAGTTTTAGTTTACGTTTATGGCCATTTCATGAAATATTTCATTCACATTGCGTTTTAGGAAGCAGATTCAATAAGAATTTTTTTTCTTTAGATGAATCCACCAAAAAAATATAGTAAGTAAATGGTTTCAGAGAATGCGGACTTTATTAAATAGATCTCAATGCAGCGGATTACTCAAAATGAGTTCAGAAACCCTGGAAAGACTAATCGGTAATAAATAATAAATATTTCTAAAGAAATATCTAACGCAGACCTAGTTTCCATAAGAAAAGTTTAGAAACATTTAAAATCAACTTTGGCAGAAAAAAACATAAGAGTTGCTTTTATAGTAAATGAGACAAGGAAATTGAAAAGAAAGTCTTCTCAAATCAATATTGTTCCACACAGACAGGCCAACGAAGACTTTATTCTCCAATCAAGCAATACAAGACCACTAAGTCCATTTAAGTCTCCAGAAACTCTGTGCAACACAGACCAAGATAAAAGTACTCTAACTCACGATGTTCAACTAACTATTTATCCATCTACGGATGCATCAGAATCGTTAATCGATAACAAAATTTCAACATTACATTTGTCAGGAAGTTATTTGGATATTGGTTCCTTATTATCGTTATATGATGTTCTTGTAATCCAAACTCAAATAAGCCTACCAACGACAACAGTACTGGCAATTCCTGAAATGATAATAGATTTCAGTAATGAAACAATAAAGATTCTAATGACCACGATGATACACCGATGATACAAACACCGATGATAACAAACAAGATCTCTGAAACTTTAGCAAATATGTGGATTGATAGTCCAACAAAACGGTACTAGTCCGTTTTGTTGGACTATCCTTCACAAACCTCTACAAACTAGTGTACCTCTACAAACGAGTGAAACATTGGTTTCAGTATTATTAAATGAAGAATTTAGAGATACAATACAAAAAACATATAATTATTAATTAAACCTTAACCCGTAAAAAAATTTACTGTTAACAGTACACGTGCGCCTTCTTCTGCAGCAATTTCATCTGCGGTGTAGCGAAAAATTTATGAAGATAAGTAAAAGTTAAAATAGAGAAGTAAGAACTAAAATATTTTGAAAAAGAAAAAAATTGAAAAGAAAAATGAAAGAGTGCTAAAGTTCAATTACGAAAAAT